GGCATCTGGATCCAGGCGGTATGGCGGTGCTGATGTTGTTAGACCTGTCGGCGGCGTTCGACACAGTCGACCATCAACTACTGGTTCACTGCCTCCCCGATACCGGGATACAAGGGATTGCCTTACAGTGGCTCACCTCGTTTCTTCAGGATCAGGGACAGAGGGTGACAGTTGGGGAACAACTGTCCAGAGGCACCCGATATTGTGCGGAGTGCCCCAAGGTGCACTGCTTTCCCCAATGCTGTTTAACATTTATATGCGCCCCTCGTCCAGATTGCCCAGAGACATGGGCTGGGTTGTCATCAATATGCTGATGATACCCAGCTCTATCTGTTATTGGACAGCCAGTCAGACTCTAGCCCGGGAGATCTGGACCTGGAATTGAAAGCCGTGGCTGGTTGGCTTAGGCTGCGCCGACTGAAATTGAATCCAATGAAGACGGAGGTCCTGTGCTTGAGTCAGAGTGGTCCAAGGTTGGGGGATCCCTCTCCCGACCTTCGATGGGGCGCCGTTGGTGCCAGCGCCGGAGGTTAGGAGTTTGGGAGTGCTTCTGGACACCTCCCTAACAATGGAGGCCCAGGTAGTAGCTACTGCAAAGTCGGCCTTTTACCATCTACGGCTGGTTAGGCAGTTGGCTCCCTTCCTTGAATGCAATGACCTAGCAACAGTGATCCACGCATTGGTCACCTCAAGATTGGATTACTGTAATGCTCTCTACATGGGGCAGCCCTTGTACCAAATCCGGAAGTTGCAGCTGGGGCAGAATGCAGTGGCAAGGCTGTTATTGTGTCTTCCTATGCGGGAACACATCCAGCCCGCCCTAAAACCCCTGCACTGGCTGCCTATAGCATACCGGATACGGTTCAAGGTGCTGGTTCTTACTTTTAAAGCCCTATATGGCCAGGGACCTGCTTACCTGAGGGACCGCCTCTCCCCGTATGTACCCCAGTGAGCACTAAGATCGGGCTCCAAAAATCGCCTGGTTCTTCCGGGGCCTAAAGAGGCCAGGTTGGCTACAACGAGGGCCGAGGCCTTTTTGGTGGCGGCCCCTCACTGGTGGAACGAGCTCCCAGAGGACATCAGGGCCCTGCGGGACCTTTTACAGTTCCGCAGGGCCTGTAAAACGGAGCTCTTCCGCCAGGCTTTTAAGTAGGGTGCCGGCGCTGCCTCGATTTTATGGCCCTGGCCCGATTACCAACTGTACCAACAGTACCAAGGGCCCCACCAATCGAGCCTTTATAGCTGGGCGGGAGTTTGTTGACACCATTCAGTGGACAGTAGATATCAGAAGATCGCCATATTTTAATGTAAGTTATGTCTAAACAGTATGAATTTATAGTGATATAGTTTTATTGGAATTTTAATGTATATTCATTACGTTGTTAGCCACCCTGAGCCGCCGTATGGCAGGGAGGGCGGGATATAAGTGTAAATAAGAAATAAACAAACCAATGAATGAATGTGTGCTTTGGGATGAACCTGGGACCCCCCCCAACCATCACCAGCATTTTCCAAGTAAGGTTGTCTTTGGGAAATGTGGTTGACAGACAGAGACAGTCATTTGGTTTATGGCTACCTAGTAAACTTTGTGTAAAGGTAAAGGTTTCCCTTGCTCGAACGCCAGTCAAATCCGACTCTAGGGTTGCAGTGCTCATCTCCGTTTCTAAGCCGAAGAGCCAGTGCTGTCTGAAGACGTTTCCGTGGTCACATGGCCGGCATGACTAGATGCCGAGGCGCACGGAACGCTGTTACCTTCCCATTTTTTTACATGAATGTTTAATATGCACACACACAATATAATGTATACTCCTATTTGCAAATGTGTACCATACAAAGTTTGAGTCCAGTGGACGCAAACATTGTTCTGCTGCTTCAGACCAACACGGCTACCCACCAGAGTGTACCATACAAGCAGCCCTGACCTGGATAGTTCAGGCTAGCCCAATCTCATCAGATCTCGGAAGCCAAGTGGGGCTGGTCCTGGTTCAATGTTCCCTCTAAGCTGTGGAGTCTTGTGAGCAAAAATTCTATTTTGTGAGCTACTGGCTTTATAGTTGTGAGCAAGCGATTTGGCTACTGCATAAATTTGTTTGCTCTGGAGCTGTCCTTCCTGGGCGAAGACAAAAATGTGTGAGCCGGAGGCTAAAAAACTGTGAGCTAGCTCAAACCAACTCAGCTTAGAGGGAACACTTAGAGGGTTAGTGTTTGGATGGGAGGCCTCCAAGGAATATCAGGATTGTGACGTGGAGGCAGGCAACGGCAAACCACCTCTGAACATCTCTTGTCTTGAAAACACCACAGGGTCACCACGAGTCAGCTGCAACTTGACAGCACTTTCCACCACACCATGCAGGCGAAGCACACCGAGGAACTGGGACTGTCCGTGGTTTCCCCTTATTTCTACATGCATCATGAAGCATCTCTGAGCAAGGATTTGAACTTGAGTTTCAAAACTCAGAACTTCCTATCCATTGCATCACAAATGGATTTTCCCCCTTGGTGGCGAAAAATACAGTACACCAATGGCCGATAATGCATTATCCTTCAGTGGTTCCTGCAATTCAGTTGCTTGAGGGGGAGATACTTCACCTTAACTGGCCCTGATAGAAACACATTTAGCTAAGAAGTGAAATGGCTCATGGGATGCTTTTGCTAGAAACAATTTGCTAAAGCTGCTTGCTGAATGTATTTCACGTCATTAAAACAGGGTTTTTTTGTTCGCTTTACAAAACCAATGCAAGTTACATTTTGAATAGGACCAGAAAGTATAAAACAAAACAATGCAAAAGTTTGTCTGTTTCAAAGAAACTTTATGCTAATTCACCATCTGTAGGGGCTTCCCAGATATAAATGGATTCACCCAATTATCAGAACTAATGAAGCACCAGATATGCAAATATTCCAGTCTCTGCCTTTGATTATTCTTAGTTCAAAAAACGTAAAGGCTGCTTTGCTGCTCTTACCTTCTTTCAGAAAAGAGCATGAATATTTCAAAGTATCATGGAACCATCAGATGGTAAAGTTCTAGACACAAAATAGAAATGTGTGAGAAGAGAGAACACATTTCTTCCCCACTTTAATCTTCACGTTCCTTCTTGTTTTTGGTCTAAACTCATCAAAGAAAACAAAACTTTCCTTCTGATTACTTGCACATTTCCCCAGCTTATATATCTGAAAGAACTTTTAGACTGCTTGGCAGATGGAGACAAACAGAAAATATTCACCTGGGCTGTAATTTATGGCCAGAGCTGGGGATATAGTGAGCCTGCGGAAAAAAGCTTCCTCTTCCCTGATTTCAGGTGTTTCCCAAACTTCTGATAAACATTGTTTCTAATTTTAAATTGGACAACACTTCACTCTTGTATTCCACCCCACCCCAATATTGACAGAGACATCACAGCAGACAGTTTCTTTCCTTACCTTTCTATTGCCACACACTGAAAGGGATGGTATGAACGGAATTATTTTCCTCTTGTTCCTGGGTGAACGCTGAAGATTGATGCCACAGCTGTATGCTCATTCAGCCTTCTCCTGTGTGGATATTTGTATTGTTATTATGGACCGGATATTTTGAGACTATAAAATATTCCTGTTGTATAAATGCTACCTTTTTTTGAAGGTTTTTGGTGAATCATTTTGTACACAGTTTTGTTCCTATTACCACCTGGAGGCTGGCAAACCCTAGTTTTAAGGGCTGATATTCACTTTTAATTTACTGATTGGCAGGGCTATTTTTGGGCAGGAAGGCACTACTGTGGTAATGTCTTTTGGTTAATTTACTAAGGCTGCGGTCATTATCATAATAGGCCACACCCAACAGTTATAGGCGCGATTTTGTCCGCCTCAGAAGTTGCAGCCGCCATTTTGTGCGGAGGGAGTTTTTCAGGGCCCAGATTTTTGGCGAAATTCTGACCTGCTTTTGTCCTTTTTTTGTTTCTTCACCAGTGGTTGTGTATTCTTCAGAGCTTCTTTCTCCATGAGGTTAGAAATTTTTTTTGTTGCTGTTAAGTCAGATTTCAGGGCTGGTGGGCTTCGGGATCGGCGGAGCCAAGGGTGTAGGCAGCCATTTCCCCTGGTCCCGCCCCGGAAGTCCTTAAAACTACTCTTGCTGAAAAACCGATTCTGACAAATTGGGAGTTTATGATGGTGTCTTGGACCATACTGAGACATCATCAGACTACTGTGGTAATGTCTTTTGGTTAATTTACTAAGGCTGCGGTCATTATCATAATAGGCCACACCCAACAGCAGGAACTCATTAGGATTGGCTTCATTAGGGGTGTGCGGCCTAACATGCAAAGGAGTTCCTGCTCCAAAAAAAGCCCTGGGTTTTGACAACAAACAAGGTAAACAGAATAACAAGCAAAAGTTGGGTGTGGCTGGATAACCACACTTCTGGTAACATGTGGGTATGGCCTAATATGCTAATGAGCTATGCTGTCATGGGTGTGGCCTAATATGCTAATGAGTACCTGCTGGCTTTTTCTACCAAAAAAGCCCTGCTGATTGTAATTTATTGTTGTAACCCGCCATGAGCCCCCTTGCGGGAAGGGCGGGATACAAAAATAAATCTTATTTTGTGGCCCCCGAGAGACACACGTAAGGAGCAATCCCAATGAGATGATGCTCCCCACGGAAGACGCTCCTAGCCTAAATTTTTATTTCAGCGTAAACGCAGGGTGTGCGTGTGTGTGCGTGTCAAACCTAAAGTTTTATTTCGGCATAAGCTTCGGTGGGTCAAACTTAACATCATACAAATACGACGCGATCTTACAAAGGAATAACGCCCCCCTCTCCCCCCATATGAATTATTATACGAGACTTCCTTCTGAGTAAACATACATAGGCGGCTCGAGCTGTTGGGACTGCGAACTACGGACTCCCAAAACGCACTTCGGCCCTATCCGCGGCTCCAAGCGGCCGCCCTCCCGACGTCTCTTTCTCCGGCCCGCCCGAGGAGGAGGCGCCCAGCCGAGGCCCGCCCCGTCTTCACCATCATCATGGCGCTGCGCGGGGTGCGGGTGCTGGAGCTGGCGGGCCTGGCGCCGGCCCCGCTCTGCGGCCAGATCCTGGCCGACTTTGGCGCCCAGGTGGTGCGGGTGGACCGCTTCAGAAGCGCGGCCATCCACGCGGACGTGCAAGGCCGGGGCAAGCGCTCGCTGGCGCTGGACCTGAAGCAGCCTCGGGGCGCCGAGACGCTGACGAGGCTCTGCCAGAAGGCGGACGTGCTTCTCGAGCCCTTCCGACCAGGTGCCTGCCTGCCTGCCTGCCTGCCTGCCTGCCTGG